TTTTTTTTTTTTTTTTTTGAGAGATAGGGAGAGAGAGAAACATCCATCTGTTGTTCCACTTATTTATGCATTCATTGGTTGATTCTTGTATGTGCCCTGACTGGGGTCAAACCTGCAACCTTGGTTTATTGGGACAATGCTATAACCAACTGAGCTACTACCAGGCCAGGGCCATGGAACCACATTTTTAAAGAAAGAAAAAAATATACCTTAATATTGAAATCTCTGTATACAGAAAATAACCTTATAAAAAAAAGTCTGTGTTCCAACCAGAGTGGAAAAACCTTGCAATACAAAAGACAAAAGATAAAGTACACAGAAGAGAATGGCTCTTGAAGACATAGCAATAGGATCTATCCAATGACACAAAAAAACACTGAACAAAAAAATGGACAGTGCATCAATAAGCTGTGGTTAGAACTTCTTTGAGTGGATACATGTAATTGGAGTCCCTCCAATAATGAGGAGAGGGGGATGAAAGAAGAAATAGTTGAAGAAAAAAAAAGCTGAAATATTTTCCAAATCTGATGAAAGTTATAAACTCACAGATCCAGGAAGCTCAATCAATCCTAAGCACTAGAACACAAAGAAAACTATATCAGGGAGCATCAAAATCAAATTTCATGAAACTAGTTACAAATAGAAAATCTTAAAAGCAGCTGGAGAAAAAAGACACATTGCATATACAGTAAAAAAGAGAACAGTGACTGCAAACTTCTCAGAAAAACCGCAAGCCAGAAGACAGTGAAGCAACATGTAAAATTCTACACCAAGAAAAAATGTCTTCCAAAAATGAAGGCAAAATAAGTCATTTTCACACAAAAATAGGCAATACAGTTAAGGGGAAAAAATCCCCACAACACTCACAAATATATCACTTGAATATCAAATATTTTGTCGTCTATAATGACTTTTACATATGGATAGCCTACGATGGCTGTGAATTTCGAAGCATATATTCTCATTTACATTTGAGTAAAAATACATTATGTGTCGAGTCTTCTTTGATTTATGATAAAATAGAATATATAATCTGTGATGGTATTTTTGGAGATATGGCTAATGAGTATAAATTCTTACGATTCTCTACTTCAACTTATTTTCATTTTGAAGAAAAAAGAGTGACCCTTATTTTTTATGAATCATCTTTTTCAACTTTTCATTCAAATCTATGTCCAAACTCTCCTTTACCTTCTCTAATAAAAAAAGAAAAACATTTTATGTAATCAAGTTATTATGGGTTTTCATTCTTAAAGCTAAGAATGTCATTATATATTATAGTCTCTTAAGACATCTAACTATAATTTTCATAATTTCTGAGATCTGCATTTTATAAATTACCTTGAAAATATGGGAAGTAGCCAGTATTTCTTTTCATCACCAAAGACTTGTCTCCAGTTCTTACTGTATCCAAGAGAAAAACCATTTCCATCAGGTCCATATGAAAATGTGGGTGCACGAAATGATTCTGTTATAGGTATACATAAAAAAATTAGTTAATCTATTTAAAATTACAGTAGGAATGAAAGTACCAATTTTCTTGTTTTATATATATTTTTTAAGGTTTTTTTTAAAAACAACTGATTTCAGCCCAGCCGGGCGTGGCTCAGCAGTTGAGCGTCGACCTGGGATCCAGGAGATCGGGGTTCGATTCCTGGTCAGGGCACATGCGAGGTTGTGGGCTTGATCAATGACTCTCTCATCATTGATGTTTCTATCTCTCTCTCTGTCTCTTTTCCTTTCTCTGGAATCAATAAAGATATATTTAAAAAAACAAAAAACAAAAAACAACTGATTTCAGAGAGAGGTAAGGGGAGGGAGAGAGAAATAGAAACATCAATGATGAGAGAGAATCATTGAATCACTGATCAGCTGCCTCCTGCACGCCCCCTACGAGGGATCAAGTCCGCAACCCTGGCATGTGCCCTGACTAGGGATCGAACCATGACCTCTTGCTTCATGGGTCAAAGCTCAACCACACAGCAACACTGGCTGGGTTTGTTTTATATCTTTGATATCAAAAACTTTAAATATAGCCTTGGCTGGTGTGGCTTGGTTGGAGTATCGACCCGTACACTAAAAGGTGGCAGGTTCGATTCCTGGTTGGGGCGTGTGTGGGAGGCAACCAATTGATGTTTCTCTCTCTCATCAATGTTTCTCTCTCTCTTTCTCTCCCTTTCTCTCTATAAATCAATAAAATTTAAGAAAGAAAAAAATTATTAAAGAAAATCTTAATAAAAAAGCTATAAATATAATTTAAAATAAATAATATATTTGTAACAGTTAATTAACAAACAACAAATGCTGGCAAGGATGTGGAGAAAATGGAACCCTAGTACACTGCTGGTGGGAATGCAGACTGGTGCAGCCACTGTGGAAAACAGTATGGAGGTTCCTCAAAAAATTAAATATGGACCTGCCATTTGACCCAGTGATCCTACTGCTAGGAATATATCCTAAGAAACCCAAAACACCAATCAGAAAGAACTTATGCACCCCTATGTTCATTGCAGTGCCATTTACAATAGCTAAGATCTGGAAACGGCCCAAGTGCTCATCAGTAGATGAGTGGATAAAAAAGCTGTGGTATATTTACATCATGGAATACTATGCAGCTGTGAAAAAGAAGGATCTCTTACGCTTTGGGAGAGCATGAAGGGACCTGGAGAGTATTATGCTAAGTGAAATAAGCCAGTCAGAGAGAGATAAGTACCATATGATCTCACTCATATGGAGAATATACTGAACAAAATAGATCCAGAGACAGAAGCATGGAACAGACTGACGGATCTCAGAGGGAAGGTAGGGGTGGGTGGATGGGTGGGGAGAGATTAATCAAAGAACTTGCATGCATGTATGCGTAACCCATGGACACGAACAATAGTGTGGGGAAGGCCTGTGGGGGGGCAGATGTGGGATGGAGGGCATCAATGGGGGGGAAAAGAGGACATATATAATACTTTCAACAATAAAGATAAATTTTTTTTAAAAAGATAAATTTCTGAAATGTATTTCAGAAAAAAATACCTCGGAATATTTCACCACCCTTATAAAAATGTGAAAATAATGATCTAATATTACTGAAAACCTACTAAAGTGTGTTTAATATATCTTACTTTTCTTTTCTATTTATTTATTTATTTAATAAGAGTTTATTTAAACCAAACTGGTGGCATGCTGGGAAGCAAGATCTCAAAATGATCCTCTTTTTAAATATTCTTACTCTTGCAACTTTACTCATTCATTATTTACACACTTCCTACTATGTGCTTGATGGCACACTACCAGGTGTTTGGGGCCCAAAGATAAATTAGATGAAATTCTTACCAAAGAACCCAAAGTCTAACAAAATTCCAATGTGATAGAGATATGTGTGTACTGAGGGTGTGGTAGAGGAAGGTGAAATATGGAGGAGGTGATACTTGAGAATGATCTTAAACAGGAATAACAGGTGAGGAAGCAGATGGTGATTAAAGAACATTTTTAAAAAAAATATGTTTTTATTGATTTTAGAGAGAGAGGAAGGGGGAGGGAGAGAGAAACATCGATCAGCTGCCTAACCTGCCTATGTGCTGTGACCTGTGACTTCATGGTGCATGGGATGATAATCGATGAACTGAGCCACACCGGCCAGGGATATAGACCATTCTTTTAAGCTTGGGTGTAAAGTGATATAGAGGGAGGGTTAGAGAAAGATTTAAGTTTCACCAAATGTATTTTTTTAAATTTAAAAATAGACTGCATTTCAGCATGTTTTATAAGCTAAAGATAAGAAGCTAGGGAGAGCTTGATTGGGAAACATTGGTAATATAGAAAAGTAATGTAAAAATTGATTGAAGAAAATTCTAGAAGAAATGGGAGTGCTTCTAGAAGAGTGCAAAAGATTAGCCTTAGATTACTAAAAAAGACCTATCTTATCCTCCGAAGTTAGAGGAAGGGTAACAGTGATGGATTTGAAAGTAAAAATGTTTGTGTGAGGTTATAAAGGTAGGGAGATAACAATTTACTTGTGACAACTTCTAATTCTTCTATGAAGGGCTCACAAATTGGGTAAGAAAATTAGGGAGAATGGTGAAAATCTGTAATAACTATTGTAGGTAATATCAGGTGACAACCTGATCAGAAACACTACATTACTCCCAAATAGAGGTGAGGGCCCAAGTGAGGGCTGAAACTTTAAGTCTGTAGTTTAACAATTTCTATGAGAGTGAGACTGCCTTCACTGGCTTCCTACAACCGGATTCACATGTACATAAAATGGACAGCTAGAGTAACCCAAGTCATGGATTAGCAAATGCATTATGGGAGAAAGCCTAGAGGCAGGTATAAAGTGAAGGTGCAGTCAAGAATTGTTAAAGTCACTTACTGCAGGCTCTAGAATGGAAAAGAGTGGGAAATGAAACCAGAAGGGAGAGAAACACTTGGAAGAGAAGTGCTGGAAAACAGAGGACTCAGTAATCTAAAAAAGGAATTAGAGTACAGAAAAGGGAGAGCTTAAAGGACAAAGAGTGTGGTTAGAAAATGGAAATTTAAGTTGAATATTTCAGGGGCTCTTCAGTTCCAAGCAATGAAAAGGTTCAGTGTTTAGTATGGAAATGATTGGCACCAGAATCAAAGGGACTAGCCTGCCTGTTTGGGATGATAGTAGACTACAGAAATTCTTAATGTGGGGAAATTATCTCAAGGTATGTAGGTGACAGTTATGAAGAAGGGTAGAGGTAATATCCCAAAGGACAGAATAAGATACCTTCAAAGGACAGAAAGACAACAATCTGGAAGAAGCAATGGAGAACCAGCCAACGCCCAGGGATGTGGAGGGTGAGGCTGTAAGGGAGTGCTGCGCTAGGGTAATGTTTTTACAAAGTGCAGATTAAAATACCTTAATAGTGTGTAAAATTCATTCAGTGGTTATAACCATGGAATTATTTAAGGAACTAAAACAGAAAATATTAGCGTACACTGCACATAGTAGAGCTAAGTAATGTTTTGTAAAACTTTTATTTTATTTACATAAATTTATAAATATGTGTGCACACACTAGGTTATAGAAAATGATGCATTTCTTACTGTAGTCACTGGCCAAAAAAAGTTTGGAAAAGATTGTTTAAAGGGAACAATAAGTTTCCCAGGAAGCACTGGCCTCTCAAATACCCACACAGGTTGGGTGGGAAATTAATGACCTGAGCTGGGTGGGGACTGTGGCAAATGGTGTTCTTACCCCATTTAAAGCAGTCAACTACTACTTAGCTCTGACTAAATGATGCTGGGTGGAAAAAAGGGCCCACAAAATAGACTTACCAGTTTTCAAAAGAAATCTATTTTTCTATGTAAAATCTCTAAGTTTTTAGCTGTTGTGTAAGATCTTAAGCGGTAGATTTTGCAGGTAGGCTGCACTTTGTCATCTCTGATTAAAGGTAAGAAAATGGCAAGAAATTCTATGAAGAGGAATAACAAATTAATGAATGGATACAAGGAAGTTTATTTATACAGAAAAGGGATGAAGGCACAACAGAACTGGAGAGCTCAACAGTGAAGAGTGAGCTGAGATAGGAACGACACAGAAATCCTTTACTCTGGAAGCCCGTCATTCCTTACAGGACTCAGTTGGACACAAATTGAAAATGACCCAAAAATGAAAGTTATCTGAAAGTCTCCCTAGAATGTCTTCATCCTTCTCTATTAAAATCTGTCCCCTTGTAATTTACCTGGCAGACACATGGCTTTACATGACAAGGGAGGCTTGGTAGCTTTCTTATGAAACACTGCAACAAATCCCTATTTTGTATCTTAGAACATTAGCTGATAATTAAATATATCAATTATAGCACAGTGGTGCTGCTTACATGCCAATAGCTCAGTTTGCACAATGCCACATCACCTTGTTTTTCAAATGTTTGTCCAATTATTTGACTACCTTACTGAATTCTTCCCCTATATTTCACTTTAAAAAATGAGCAATGCTGATATTAGTGATATAAGTTCCATTGTCAACTGACACAAAGATAGAAATGATTCACCACGTCAAAAACACTATTCCTTAGCCTCAATCATGAAACTGTGGGAAAAAGTAAAGAACTTATATTTTAGCTAAACAATAAGCTGTAATTAAGGATTTAAAAAATTTTTTTAGCAATCTGAGAATGAACCGCCTTATTAACATGTAAATCTACTATTCATCTTTCATAAATTAATTTTTGAAGACACTGTAAATGCAGGAAAGAGCCTTTATTAACATTTATAACATGGTTTGTTCTCTACTTTTATATACAATGCACTACTGAAAAAAAATACAAAAGTCAATCTTGCTTCTTCAACCTTCTTTAAAATAATGAACCTTTACATTTACATATACCCATTGTTCCTGTCCAGTCACGGTAAATTTTCACATACAATTATTTTATGCTTCTTTATCATCTATTGGCCTCATCTAGATTTCATATTCATTTGTGGTCATTTTCCTAAATAATTATGATTTATTTTGACTTACTTACCTATTGTTGTTCTATTTTTTCCAACTAGCCAGCAGTGATAGCCGAAAAGTGACAGGACGCTGATGAAGAACATTGTAGACACAAAGAAAAGAAAAAGTACATGGAATTTGGCACGAGTATCTGTAAGTTCATTCTGAGGAAAGAAAAAAGAAGTGTTAATTTTGAAGATAGTCAACCTCCAGAATGTACTCTTATTACTTGGTTTTCCTAAAGATGGTTGAATCCACTAAAAATTTGTCAGATATGAAGAGTAATAAAATAAATTAGATAATATGTCCCCAAAAAACATTTTTAAAAGTAGAAAATTGGTATTATCAAAGGAGCTTACTTATATAAATCAGAGCCATTTAAAAAATTGCTTTTAAACATTAAAAAATTTTAGCAATACTTTCAGTAATAAATAAAAAGATGGGCTCTCTATCCAACATTTTCTTTTTTTTCTCCTTTGTTGTTCTTTATTACTTTTAAAAAAAATTTTATTATTATTATTTTTTAATGTATCTTTATTGATTACAGGGAGAGGAAAGGAGTGGGAGGGAGAGAGACAGAAACATCAATGATGAGAGTCACTGATTGAGCCCGCAACCGGGCATGTGCCCTGACTGGGCATCAAACCCTGATCGCCTGGATCCTAGGTCTACGCTCAACCGCTGAGCCGAGCCAAGCCCAGCCGGGCTTTTTTTAATTTTTATTTTTGTTTAAAGTATTACAGATGTCCCTTTTTCTCCCCAATGACCTGTTCCCCCCGTTCCTTCCCCCTCCCCAGTCACTCTCCCCCCCATTGTCTATGTCCTTGGGTTGTGCATATATGCATATAAATTCTTTGGTTACTCTCTCCCCCTCCACCCACCCACCCCCCTCCATCCCTCTGACATTTCATCAGTCTCAACTATGCGTCTATCTATCCAATATTTTTCTTTTGTACTTTCTGAATATGTGCAAACCTTCCCCCAGAACATCCAGGATATAGGAGGGTTTCCCCATCAATGCTAAAAATACCTGCTTATTTTAATTATTAACCAGAAATTAATTGTGATAGATTTTTGTACTTTTCCAATCTCTATTCTTGGAACACTACTACAAATATGCCCATCCTCTCAGCTGCTTTGACTCCTACCTTTTTAATCCTTGCTCCATTCCTACAGAGCCTTTTTTGGTAATTAGCAATTTTGGTAAATGAATTTAACACAAGGTATGAGTGAATGAAAACAGTTTCTCAGTTACCCATTCTTATGGCTTTGTTCATTTTAACAGAAGCAAAGTCTTAACCTAGAAGAAATTAATATCTATTGATAGGAGGAAGCTTTTAATTCGTGTTAGCTCTTAAAATGAATCCGCATAGGAAAATCACGGAAGCTACTAGAACACAAGGTGGTCTTGCTTGATTTATATTTTTTACTTTTAAATATGTTTTTATTGATTTCAGAGAGAGGAGGGGAGAGGGAGAGGTAGAAACATCAATGATGAGAGTCATTGATTGGCTGTCTCCTGCACACCCACGATGGGAGATCGGGCCAGCAGCCTGGGCATGCACCCTGACTGGGAATTGAACCTCGATCTCCTGGATCCTAGGTCAATGCTCAACCACTGAGCCACACCAGCTGGTGGTCCTGCTTGATTTAAACACTGCTTACAGGCTAAAAGAAAGGTTTTTAGCATTACATAATTCTGTTATTTATCTTCTTCTCTTCTCTCCCACAGTAACCACAATACCTTTTATTTTATTTTTATTGATTTTTTTTTAGATAGAGGAAGGAAGAGCGAGAGAGAGAAACACTGACCAGTTGCCTCCTGCACATGCCCCAACCGGGGATAGAACCTGCAACCTGAGTATGTACCCGACTGGGAATCGAACCCGCCACCTCTTAGTGTACAGGAAGACACTCCGACCAACTGAGCCACACTGGCCAGAGCAACAACAATATCTCTTACCTACATCAAGTGGCCCTGGTCAGTTAGCTCAGTTGGTTCGAGCATCTTCCCAATAATCCAAGGTTGCGGGTTTCATCCCCAGTCAGGGCACATACAAGCAACCAATGAATGCATAAATAAATAGAACAACAAATTGATGTCTCTCTCTCTCTCTCTCCCTTCCTCTCTAAAATCAATAAATAAAAAATTTTAAAAATACATCAAGTGATTCTCTTATCCTATTCTCCCCATCTTGTGAAGCAAATGAGTATTACATATATATGTATATGTATTCATTACAAACGTCATAAAAGAGTTGACAAGAATGTCATGGTAGTAATGTATTTTACCTTTGAACAACTCTCTGTAGACTTCCTGTGGCAAAGCTTGTATGAATAGAGACAATACATTAAGAAACCAATTTTTATACAAAATGTTCCTGAATACTAATCTTATAAATTTTTGTTTTGAAGGAACACTAAGATGTTGCTCTCTAAAAGTCATCAACATCTTCTCAAAGAACACAAAATAGACAAGAACATTTAGCTCTTCAAGCATATTTCAGGTACACTTTAAATACACACTTTCCCACTCAGTTTTTAAGAGTTGTATCTAGGATAGAATAAAATTAAATTTTTTTTAGCAAACACCTTTTTAAAAAAACTTCTGATTAGCAATTTCTAAATCCAGATCTGACAACTTATCACCTTCATTGCTATTGCAATAGCCTTTTATTTTTTTCTAATCCTCACTGGAGAATATTTTTTCCATTGCTTTTCAGAGAGAATGGAAGGGGAAGAGAGAGAGAGAGAGAGAGAGAGAGAAACACTGATGTGAGACACATCAACTGGTTGCCTCCCACACACCCCCCCCCCCAATGGGGCCAGGGATTGAGCTTGCAACCCAGGTACGTGCCCTTGGCTGGAATCGAACCCAGGACCCTTCAGTACTTGGGGTGACGCTCTAACCACTGAGCCTAGGGCACAATAGCCTTTTAAGAGGTTGTTCCTTGCCTTCTGGTCTAGTGTCAGCACAGCAATCAGTGATCCTTTAAAAGTCAAATCACATCACTGCTCTTTTCCCATTTTCCTGAGTAGAAGCCATGGTCCTTACAACACTTTCCAAGGCTATTTTTTGGGTCCATATCCAGGACTTCCCTTAGTCTCACTCTTGCTCATCCCCTCCAGCTACACTAGCCTCCTTTTTGCTGCTCAAACATGACAGGGATGGTCCTAATTTTGGATCTTTCCCTCTGAATGAAATATTCTCTCAGATATCCCCCAAACTCCCCTCAAGTCTTTGCTCAACTTTACCTTCTTTTAAAATAAATAAATATATATATATTTATATATATATATATATAAATTTATATATGTATAAATGTTAAAGAGAGAGGGAAACATTGATGTAAGAGAGAAACATTGATTGGCTGCCTCCCACACGCCCCCTACTAGGGATGGAGCCCGGAACCTGGGCATGTGCCCTGACCAGGAATCAAACTGGCGACCTTTTGGTGCATGGAACTACGCTCAACCAACTGAGCCATACCGGCCAGGACCCAAATATTAGCTTCTTACTTAGGTCTATCCTGATCACTCTTTTCCTTTCCTTAGTTGAGATATTACTGACATATAACATTAGTATCAGGTGCACAACATAAAAATTTGATATTTGTATATATTGTGAAATGATTGCCACTTAAGTTAACATCCAGCACCTCACATGGTTATAGTTTTTTCTTGTGACAAGAACTTTTAAGATCTACTCTTAGCAACTGTCAAATATCCTTATTAATTGTAGTCACCATGGTGTATATTACATCTCCAGGATTTATTTATTTTGACTATCTTCATCCATTCTCTACCCCCCTATTTCTGACAACCACCAATCTCTGTATCTATAAAGTGGTTTTGTTATGTTTACATATAAGTGAGATCATACAGTATTTGTCTTTGTCTTTGACTTATTTCACTTTAAAAAATCCCTTCAAGTTCCATCCATGTTGTCGCAAATGGCAGGGTTTCCTTCTTCTTTTATGGCTGAATAATATCCCACTGTACATAGATATCACATCTTCTTTATCCATTCATCTATTGTTGGACACTTAGGTTGTTTCCATGACCTGGCTATTGTAAATAATGCTGCTATGAACATGGAGGTACAGATATGTCTCTGAGATATTTGTTCTCTTTGACTATATTTCCAGAAGTGGAACTGGTAGGTCATATGGTAGTTCTTTTTTTCTTTTTTAATTGAATTCATTGGGGTGACATTGGTTAATAAAATTATTTAAGTTTCAGGTGCACAATTCTACATCATCTATATACTGTATTGTGTTCACCACCCCAAGTCAAGTCTCCTTCCATCACCATTACCCCCCTTCTACCCTCTTCTACGTCCCCCACTCCTCCCTCCCCCTGGCAATTTTAGGATTGTTTATTTCTGTGGAAAATGCCATTGGAATTTTGATAGGGACTGAACTGAATCTGTAGATTATTTCTGGTAGTTTGAACATTTTAACTATTAATTCTTCCTATCCATAGTACAGACTATCTTTCCATTTATTTGTGTCTTCCTCAAATGCTGTCATCAATGTCATAGTTTTCAGTATAACAGGTCTTTTACCTCCTTGGTTAAATTTATTCCTATGTATTTTATTCTTTGTGATGCAATTGTAAATGGGATTTTCTTAAGTTCTGATAATTTATTAGTGTAGAGAAATGCAACTGATTTTTCTGTATTGATTTTTGTATCCTAAAACTTTACTAAATTTATTAATTCTAAGTTTTTTGGTAGTCTTTAGGGTTTTCTATATATAATATCATGTCATCTGCAAATAGAGACAGTTTTACTTCTTCCTTCCCAATATCAATGTCTTTCTTTATCTTGCCTAATAACTCTGGCTAGGAATTCCAATATTATGTTGAATAAAAGAAGGAGCATCCTTGTCTTGTTCATGATCTTAGAGGAAAAGCTCTGCTCTTCACAGTTGAGTATGATGTTAGCTGTGCACTTGACATACATGGCCTTTATTAAGGTGTGCTATGTTCCCTCTACACCCACTTTGTTGAGAGTTTTGTATACAGATGTTGTTTTATCAAATGCTTTTTCTGCATCTACTGAGATGAACATATATATGATTTTTATCCTTTTTTTTTTTTTTTTAATGTCTTTATTGATTTCAGAGAGAGGAAAGGAGAGGGAGAGAGAGAGAGAGAAACACCAATGATGAGACAGTCATTGATGGGCTACCTCCTGCACGCCCCGACTGGGGATCGAGCCCACAACCCAGGCATGTGCCCTGACCAGGAATTGAACCCTGATCGCTTGGATCCTAGATCAACGCTCAACTGCTGAGCCACACCCGGCCGGGCTATCCTTCATTTTCTTAACGTGGTGTATCACACTGATCAATTTGTAGATGGTGAAGCATCCCTGCATCCCTGGAATAAATCCCACTTGATCACGGTACATTGCTGAATTCAGTTTGCTAATATTCCATTGAGGATTTTTGTATCTACATTCACCAACGATTTTTGTATGTAATTTTCTTTTCTTGAGTGACCTTGTCTGATTTCTGTGTCAGGGTATTGCTGGCCTCATAAAGTGAGTTTGGAACTGTTTCCTCTTCTTCCATTTATTGGAAGAGTTTGAGAAGGACTGGCACTAGTTCTTCTTTAAATGTTTGGTAAAATTTATCAGTGAAGCCATCTAGTCCTGGGCTTTTGTTGGGAATCTTTTGATGACAGATTCAATCTCCTTACTAGTCATTAGTGGAAGGTTGTTATGTTTTTAAGAATTTATCTATTTCCTCTACATTGTCTAATTTTTGGCATATAATTGTTCTATAATAGTTTCTTATAGTCCTCTGTATTTCTGTGCTACCAGTTGTAATGTCTTCTCTTTCATTTTTTATTTTGAGTCCTCTCTCTTTCATTCTTGGTGAGTCTAGGTAAAGGTTTGTCTATTTTGTTTCTCTTTACAAAAAAACAGCTCTCAGTTTCACTGATCTTTTCTATTTTCTTTTTAAGTGTATTTTATTCCTCTCTGATTTTTGTTATTTCCTTCCACCTGCTGACTTTGGGTTTCATTTCTTTTACTTTTTCTAGTTCTTTGAGGTCTGAAGTTGGGCTGTTTAAGTTCTTTTTTTTTTTTTTTTTTAAA